TGATTTTTAAATCATTTATTTTCATTCATTTTTCAGGTGACACAGATGGCTTGGGATTATTAGTAGTACCATGCAAGGCAGTGTACACAATACAGTAAAAGTCAAAAATGCTGATGCCATGCCAACAGACTCAATAACAAAACCTGCCAGAGTTGCAAATACAAGTTTACCAGCAATCTCAATCGAGGCCAAAGCACTATAGTGGCTAGCCTGCGTCTCCCCCTTGCACGCTCTACTCACTTTCATCATGAGAGTGAATGACGCAGTAGATATAACACCACTGGTGAAGCTAAGAGAACACATACTTACTATACCCGAAGAGAAATAAATAGATATATAATGTTCATTCCATAATGTGATCAAGACTAGCATTACTAGTACAGCAAACACTCTGTACACAGAATGTAAGAGTAACACATTTTTAATGTCAGCATCTTTGTTTGCAAGAGTGATGCCTCCATAAAAAGAGCCGAGGATGGACAAACCTTGACAGACTGAGCCATTCCAGAAAGCCAGAAGATGTTTTGACATACCTTTGTCCAAAAGGAAGAGAGGCATGTTGTTTATTGCTCCTCTCTCGCCCATTTTGTATAAGAGGACATACAGGCTGAGCCATCCTGTTCCTGGTGTGGTCACAACCTCTCTTATAATACCAAAAACTTTCTTTATCTGGGATTCAGCCTTGTCCTTACACTGACTCATATCCTGAGCACTGTCTAGGTTCACCTGGGAATCATTCCCGGCCTTGAAAGAACTTTTGCGCTTGTTCTCCTTATCCACAACAGAGTATTTAACAAACATGTTACTGCTAGTGGGCAGATGTATGGACCAAGCAGCAGTGAAAAGATATAAAAAGGCGAGGAAGTTGAATGTGATCTTCCAGTTGGTGAGATCCAATAAAAAAGTGAGTCCAGCACCACCTAACAAACATCCAACTTTGTAGAGGACCACCTGTAAGTACAAAATATATATAAGAATTAAACCAGAAGAAACATCAATTGCTAAAGTTTAAATACTAATAACATACCCAACTGATATCTGCCATTCTTGATAAGTAAGGTACATTGAATCATGAAAGGAATTAAATGTGTGCACTAGAAGTAAAAGAAGGAAAGAAATAAAAAATTGTGTCAGTCTCAAAACTATAAACTAGCTCCTGTCTTATTTAGATAAGTGATAGACTATTCTCTGCTGGAAATCAAGCTGTCATAATCCTTCCTCTTTTTACCTAAAAGCAAGAACTAATCACATATCACACTCCCTTTTTACTTCCAGCTAACAACATAAAATAAATAAATAAATAAATACTATATCACTAAAACCAAGCAGCTCAATTTCATCCTTTAAATATATTTTAAAAAGGTGCTCTACCTGTATGATGTTTCTTCATACACATATGCTCTGCAAATTTAGTGTTTTCTTTCACAAAAAAATATTTTCTTTCTTACAAAAATGCTCTACCATATGGTGCTTGCTCTCACAAAGATACTCTACCTGTATGGTGTTTCCGAGCCCAAGGTGTTCATCTCGGAGGACTTCAAGTGCCAGCCCATCCACAGCAATGTCTTGGATGGCCGAGAACACATTCAGAGAGAGAAGGACACACCCAATCTCAAAGACATCTTCTGGGATGACAAGTGATCCTGTGAGGGAAAAAGCGACAAGGAGACTAATAAAAAAAATATCATGCCTACTTTTTATATGCTTGGATATAATGTTACTCGTCAAGTGTCAAACTGCAGATTCAGGAAAAAAAAAAAGTGTGGCATATATGTTGCTGACTCATACTACTTTATCTTGCTTGATATAACTTTAAAAAATGACAGCTGAGTTCTCTTTCTTCCAATGAAGAATGCTATTGACGAAAAAAATCCTACAACGACTGATTAGTACAAACATTTTATTAGAAGTAATTTAAATGTTAAACAATCATGGCAATAAATAACAATTACAGATTTACAGTACTTTATGCTTCAAATATGTGAATCAAGTTGAGTATCCCTTTATATATACAAATGAATAAACAACATATATATAAATTAATTAATTAATCAATTAATTAATTAATATATATGTAATATATTTATATAGATTGATAGATAGATAGATATAATTATATGTAAATGTATGCACATATATATATATATATATATATATATATATATATATATATATATATATATATATATATATATATATATATGTATATATATACATTTACACAATACACACACACACACACACACACACACACACACACACACACGCGCACACACACACACACACACACACACACACACACACACACACACACACACACACACACACACAAATGCACAAATGCACAGACGCACAAAAGCAAATGCATAAATACACACATGTGCATGTGCAAACATGCACACATGCACACATGCACACATGCACACATGCACACACACACACACACACACACACACACACACACACACACACACACACACACACACACACACACACACACACACACACACACACACAGATAGATATAGGTATATATATTTATATATATATTTATGTGTATGTGTATGCATGTATGTAGTCCATTATATGTACACATATATATATATATATATATAAATATATATAAATATATATATATATATATATATATATATATATATATATATATATATATATATATATATATATATATAAATATATATAAATATATATATATATATATATATATATATATATATATATATATATATATATATATACATATATATATATATATATTGCAAACTTCTACCTGGGCCTCACAGTTCATCAAAAATAAAGCAACTCAAATCACAGAGCGATTACCCTCTGAGAAAAGATGTGACAGCTGAAACTCACCTCCATACGCTGAAGCACTGAGAGCAACAAGTGATACCAAGAGCCAGCAATGTTTGCCGCCGAAGATTTCAACCAAGGGAGCCCACAGTCCTTTTGCAACCCATGGAAATAACAGGGCTTTCAACAGAGACACACTGCAAAGGGATTAATATCAGTCTTAAAAGTTCCTTCTTTGAGAGGGACAGAGAGAGAGAGAGAGAGAGAGAGAGAGAGAGAGAGAGAGAGAGAGAGAGAGAGAGAGAGAGAGAGAGAGAGAGAGAGAGAGAGAGAGAGAGAGAGAAATGACTTGTATATAAATAACGGTATGAAAGCTGCGATCACAAAATATAATCTTTTATAAAGTTGTTTCCTTAAATATGGAACACATTATTACAGAATAGGCTAATGAACAGCATTAAACATAACTTCAAGTAAAAGGAAAATATTAAGAAAGAAAGAGCTTGATGATTAACCCATTCGTCCTAGATTTATGTTCTATCCCCTGTAGTTTTTGGTGAATTTTGTTACATACAGATGGCTCCACATGTGCTCAGCCGGCAAGGAGTCTATCAGTAGGCCCTAGTTACCGATCCTGATTTTCCCATTCATTGAATTGGCAGGAAAATTAATACCATTGCCATCATTACTGTTATTATTGTTATTGATGTTATGATTATTAAATTGTCATTAGAATATTTTAGACAATGAAATGATACAAAAAATCTGTTCCTAAAGTGAAGGAAAAGGGTAAACAGGTGAAATAGGTAGTTCTTGATAACTGGCTATTTGGTGATTAAGAACTTGTGGAGCCATCTATGTGTAAATACAATAAATAAGCATGTATCAAAGTGGGTATGGCATCTATTCTTGCCACGTGGGGCAAATGGGTTAAGAATCAAATTTTTAATATGCATTTTTTTTTCTGCATATTGCCTAAAATTTGGTTTTATATTAAAAAAGAAAAAAAAAATCCCTTTAATCCAAAATAGCTCAGTTTCAAAACTTGTAAATAAAATAAATAAAAAGTGAATTTCCACATGTAGAAGCAAATTGACTATTTAAAATATTTCATATACTACATCAAGGCAAAAGATAAATACCTTGAATACTGCAGTCCCCGTGAACGAAGCTGAATTGGAATGAACTTGTCTTGCAGCCCATACGGGATGCCCTGAACTAAGTAGAGCCATCCTAATGAGGTGAGGGATACGGAGGTCCTCACTGTGGCCCCTCGAGACATTTCAGCAGAGATGTTAGAGCATCATTTGCAAAACGATTCCCTTTGTTAGAGTGCACTATGAAAAAAGTGAGCTGAAAGCAGACTATTATGATTAGTGAAAAATTCTATTACTATTCAAACATTAAATTAACAAGTAAAAACTTAGTCTCTCTATATAGACATATCAACAACCACATAAGCAACATTTTGGTAAACATTTACAGTAGTACCACACATGGATGGACAAAAACAAAAACTAACACCTTGTACAGGAATCAAAATAAGATACTTGATATTTTAGCTTATATACAAAAGTGAAGGACAAGTAATATAATGACATACACCTGCACTGACTCAAGCAGTCACCAGTCTCATGCAAATTGGCACACTGGCAAAAACCAATAAACCTCACATATGTGTATTCTGGAAAGAAAGAGCTTTATCAGCAAATATGGAATGAGACCAAGCTCCATCATGCAAAAATATACTTGGTGACTTTTGCCAGATCATTTAGTGCAGCTCTACTGTACACAAACACTAATAGTTTGAGTATCTTAACATGCAGAGTTTCTTCTGTCCACTAGATAGTGTAATGCTATGTTATCCATGTCAGTTTCTTTCAGACATTCATTTTTCACTGCCTGCCATGCATAATAAATCCACAGCAATTTCACTGTGGACATTGCCAGCATTGACACACATGGAAGCCTACTTTTATTTTTAAGTGCATGACACCCTGCTATCTGCAGTAAAGGTGAAGAAATGGTGCCTGAAACAGGTCAGTGAGTTGTATTACGGACAACAAATCACTGTGGTGCTGAAAAGGTTATCATGGAGACAGCAGTTTGCCATTTTTTTATACTTGCAAAAGTGCTCTTGCTGTCAGCAGGTACTTATAAGCACAGCAGGTATTTACAAGCATTTATTTGTCCACAGCAGACAGTGAAAAAATATGCCTTTGGGACAAGATATACATATAACCATCAGTAGCTTCCAATCTCCCATACGCAGTTAACTACCCTCATAACCCTAATGATGTTATGCATTCTTGACTGGACATTGCTACCTTAAACTTATCACTCGACTTTTGGAATAGGCTGCTTCGTAATCACGTATATTTCATTTTGTTTTCTTCATAATAACGCTGCAATTCAAAGAGAAGATTTTGCTTCCACATTGACGAGGATGTGGATAAAATATCTCGAACTAGCTGCCGGGTTTTCCCATTTCTCTCCGTTAGCAGACGAAATGCTGCAGGTGGTGCCAACACCCTCACGTGACGCCGGTGTCACGCCCGCCAGCTGTGTGCCGGCATCAGTAACGCCACAGATAACGGATATTAAAGGTCAACGGCTTCCCCGTCGCCATGGAAACAGGCAGGTGGGAGATATAGACACCGTGAGATCTTTTTAAAATAGATTCTGATGTTGCGAGAATCTTTCATCAACTATGGGCTCGAGTATTATTAGGTAGCCCTATGAAAGAAATTATTCGATGCTCATTTGTTTCTTAAGAGTGTCTCGCCATATTTGTTTTTTTCGTTTATTGTTAGAGGTGATTGCATGATATGTACCTCGATGTATTTATGATGTTAATTTTTATTCTTATTGAATTCTCTTAATGTTTCGCTAAGCTTAATTCAACTCTTTTAAAAGCCGCTTATGACATGCTCATTTGTTTTTGAGTGAGACCCCGGCGTATTTGGTTTTTCCGTCTATTGCCAAGGGGCGTGTCGGCGGAAACCACAGCGGGAGCTCAATGTGCACCTGTGTCGTGTCCTTTAATTAGCCTTCCCAGGTGGACGAGCCAGATAATTTTACCTTTATCGGGCACAGAGATCTCACACGCATGCAGCGGGAGTCTCTTCGCCAGCACTGACACACACACAGTAGCACCTTGGAACCCCCGATTGCTGTGGAGTTTTGAAAGGTTTTGAAATCCGAGGCTGATTCTTGGACAACATGAGGACCGTCACCTGTGCAGCACCGGTCAACATAGCGGTTATCAAGTATTGTAAGTGACTGTTCATATTTTAATAATCAAATGATATATCAATAGAACCCATTATATACTGTATGTGACTTCACTGTATGTTAGGAAGAAGCACTGTGTGTAAGATTCTTTTTTGCTTCTATGTTAAGTTTTGCTGATTGATAAGTAAAATGCAGTTTCTTTGCATATGTTTCATCGATATTTTTAAAAAGTATTTTATTAACTTATTTTGGATATTGTCTGCATGATGGTACAGAAAAATATCATGGTGCAGTATGGAAATTACACTAACTCGTATGTAAATAAATTATGGTTTCAGTTTTCCACAGCCCTGTAGTGCAAGATATAATTTGGTTGTATTGGACAGAATAACTGTAAATAAGACACTTTTCATCTATGGTATTATTAACAGTACTATTATAAAGAAAAACTACACCCGCTAGTAGATGAAATAATCTGCGTAGCTAAAATATGTCATAAAAAGTTAAGAAAAGAGGTCACAACAATGCCAGGCAAAGAGAAGTCCACAGCGTTCACATGGGGGTCCAGGGATGGAGCCCCTGGTCCAGGAATATGGCAATCAGATGGGGGGTTTGGGGCAAAGCCTCAGGTTAGGAAGGTTTTTGGTTCACATGACAATGTTTGTGGATTTTGTAGGAATGGCTAGAGTAATAGGAATTTAATCTCAAAGGGGTGAGGTCACTTTGTAAACTCTACCAATTCTTTCATTTATATCATTTGCAAATTAAAGTAACTAGAGATTCACACATATTACAGTGTTGATAATTGGCTTCCTTTTCTTGTCTTTTTCCTAGATAAGATTATAGCAGTAGTAATAACTGGAACTAACAAATAAGCACAAAATGAATGGCTAGAAAGATTGTTCATTTCAGATTAGTTTTCTGAATTGATGTTGTGTGAACTTTTTTCATGATTTAGGGCTTGGTACTGATTATTATTTACTAACTACTATTGCTTTCCTTAGTATTATTTTGTATGGTTAGGATAAGTTATGATATTTCTGAAGTTCTTCACTATTAGTGATGATAGATCAGGTTATATGGGAACTTCACATGTGTTGGCTGCATGGAAAGAACTCCAACTCCATATCCAAAAATATATTCTAGCAGTTGCCATCACTAGGTGTGCCCAAGGGTTGGGTTAATGTGGTTCTCTGCCCTTCAACACACCCTGGGAAACATTATCTTCACCTCAGTATGCACAGATAGAGCTGAAACTCAGGAACACCAAGTGGACTTTGGGTGTGAGTGGGCACTTTCTGCAATCTTTCTCCTTTATTTGTGTCATTACTGTTCGTGTCTGCAGATTCTTGTACTAATGATTGCAACTTTTAGTCTGCTACAAAAATATTATCTTCAATTTGATATAGCTTAATGCATCCATAATATAAAGATTAACCAAATGAAAATGTAAAGAGTGGGTTAAGGAAAACTACAACTTGAAATTACCTCAATTGTTTATGTCCATAATGAAAGTATCATATGTTTCTGCTTTGTTTTCTCTATCCTACTTTGGGAAATATGAGAAAACAGAAATATCTACTATCCAGAAATCCTTACAGCAAATATTGTATGTTGCAACTAACCAAAAATTCAGCAAATATAGTTTTCAGGATAATATTTATTATCATTATTTCTATTATTATTACTATATCATTGTTATCATCATCATCATAATCACTACCTCTGTATTTTATATTATTTTCATTATTATTAATAATGAAAATTATTATTTATTATTATTAATTACAGTATCAACTTATTCCAAGCAAATAGGTCAAGGTAATGGAGAAGAATACATTTAAGAACTAGTCTGAAGCTACGTGCTTTGGTAATTACTTTACAGTAACTTCCCTTCAGTCATTCTTTTCTTCCCTTTTTTCTTTCATTATTTTTGTTTATGGTATATTACCACTTAATTTCAGGGGGAAAGCGGGATGAGAGACTGATACTGCCTGTCAATGACTCCATCAGCTTTACTCTGAGCCTAGACGAGATGCATTCCAAAACAACAGTTTCTATTGCACCAACCTTTACCGAAGACAAGTTCTGGCTGAACGGAAAGTAAGTGCTGCTTCTGATTTGTTGGTATATTTTTGCTATTGTTATTTTTTTTTTATTTTTTTCTTTAATGCACAGTATTTACAAGTGTAATGGCACATTTTTCTCTGCACTTGTTCACCTTTTTCTTATAACTTTATGCACATGGATGTACATTTGTTTTAGTGTTTATCTATGGAAACATATGGTCATGAGTATCTAATCGTCCCCAGATAAAGACAGAGTATACAGAACAAAAGCTTGAGGTTTAAAGTAAAAGAACATTGTGCTGACAAAGTATACAAAAATTAAGTTCTTGGAAATTGCAGTTATGTAATTGAGTATGAAAATGTAATTCAGAATTAAGTAAATGTGTCATAATTCCTTTTTCAGGCAAAGGGTCTACATGTAAAATAGAAGTAACAAGTGTTCTTACCTTCTTTTGATTATACATATTCATATGGCGTTATTAATAGGAACCTTCGAGATGATGATCTGTTCTACATCATACATCACAAAAAGGCCAACCATGAAATGCCAAGGCTTTGTTCACACATATCCCTAATAACTCCCAATTTATTTCAGGGAAGAGTCTCTAGAAAATCCAAGAATACAAAATTGCCTGAAAGAGAGTGAGTTCTAGACCCTACTTTTATTTTTTTGTTTGTGCTTGGTTTTGTAGAATTCACTCATTTGCAGTTCCTGCATGGACACACGTGGACTTGCACTGAGCTTCTTGTTTTTATGTGCATCTGTTGTGATCACGTTTGTTGGGGTGATTTATTTAGTGGTATAGACTTACTCTTTATATGTACCTTTCTATAATCTTCCCATACAATTCCATACAAGTTTCTTTAGCAAAGGCTTTGTATACCCAGGAGTTGGGTTTTCAAAATTGTGTGTTAACAATTGGAGTTTCCCAGTTGCACAGTGTTTCTGTGTGTGTGGTGTGGTGCGGTGTGGCGTGGTGTGTGTGGTTCAGTGTATGTGGTTCAGTGTATGTGGTTCAGTGTATGTGGTGTGGTGTGTGTGCGTGTGGTGTGGTGTGGTGTGGTGTGGTGTGGTGTGTGTGGTGTGTGGGGTGTGTGTGGTGTGTGGGGTGTGTGTGGTGTGTGGGGTGTGTGTGTGTGTGTGTGTGTGTGTGTGTGTGTGTGTGTGTGCATGTGCATGTGGTGTGATGTGGTGTGTGTGCGTGTGTTGTGGTGTGTGTGCGTGTGGTGTGGTGTGTGTGTGCATGTGCATGTGTGGTGTGTGTGTGTGTGCATGTGCATGTGCTGTGTGTGTGTGTGCATGTGCATGTGTGGTGTGTGTGTGTGGTGTGGTGTGGTGTGGTGTGGTGTGGGTGGGTGTGGTGTGGTGTGTGAATGAGAGGGGGAGAGAGGGAGAGAGGGTGAGAAAGGGGAGGATGAGAGAATGAGAGGATGAGAGGGAGAAAGAGAAAAAGGGAGAGAGTGTAAGAGTGTAAGAGTGTGTGTGTGTGTGTGTGTGTGTGTGTGTGTGTGTGTGTGTGTGAGAGAGAGAGAGAGAGAGAGAGAGAGAGAGAGAGAGAGAGAGAGAGAGAGAGAGAGAGAGGGTGAGGGGACAAGGATTTTCTTGAGTTTGGTAAACAGTTTCCCTAATATTTAAACTAAACTACTTAGAAGTAATGCTATAACCTCTTTGATATCACTTAATTGGGAAAGCATAAGCCAAGATGTTTTGGCATTCTCAGTAATAGGAAAATAGAAGTAGTAATAATATAACTGAAGAATCATGATTTTCTTGATTCTTTCAATTGATTCTCTCTGATTTGATATTTGAATTGGTGATGCTCTACAAAAATCTGAAAAATAGTGTGAAAGTCTTGATTCTAGCATGTATTTAGAAATCCAGAGGGTGCCTAGGGTAGTTGTGCTTCTCCATAGGAAAACTGCATATGATTAGTTAAACACTTGTATTATAATTATGTATATCATAAAGAAAATATAAAACTGCTAGAAACACTTCCTTTAGGCCAACCACATAACTCCTTGCAGTAAGACGACGGGCATCTAAGAGAAAGTTAGAAGGATCTGACGAAGACGTGTTGAACTGGCACGTACACATTTGTTCTACCAACAACTTCCCTACTGCTGCTGGCTTGGCTTCATCTGCAGCTGGATATGCCTGTCTAGGTGAAAATTAGTTGATTAAACTGATTAATTGATACACTAAGAAATGTTTATAGTATTTTTGCATATTATTCACCATCTTCCTTCTGTCTGAAACATTATAGTATTTTTGCACATTATTCATCATCTTTCTTCTGTGTGAAACATTTTGTCTCCTTCCAGTTTATGCCCTTGGCCAAG